ACTGTAGACCGCCTAACACTGACTGTAGACCGCCTAACACTGACTGTAGACCGCCTAACACTGACTGTAGACCACCTAACACTGACTGTAGACCACCTAACAATGACCAACTGTAGACCACCTAACACTGACTGTAGACCACCTAACAATGACCAAGTGCAGACCACCTAACACTGACTGTAGACCACCTAACAATGATCAACTGTAGACCACATAACACTGACTGTAGACCATCTAACACTGACTGTAGACCACCTAACACTGACTGTAGACCATCTAACATTGACTGTAGACCACCTAACACTGACTGTAGACCATCTAACACTGACTGTAGACCACCTAACACTGACTGTAGACCAACTAACACTGACTATAGACCACCTAACACTGCCTGTAGACCACCTAACACTGACTGTAGACCATCTTACACTGACTGTAGACCACCTAACACTGACTGTAGACCACATAACACTGACTGTAGACCACCTAACACTGACTGCAGACAACCTAACAATGACTGTAGACCACCTAACACTGACTGTAGACCACCTAACACTGACTGCAGACAACCTAACAATGACCGACTGTAGACCACCTAACACTGCCTGTAGACCACCTAACACTGCCTGTAGACCAGCTAACACTGACTGTAGACCACCTAACACTGCCTGTAGACCACCTAACACTTCCTGTAGACCACCTAACACTGACTGTAGACCATCTGTACAGTCCAGACAGCCTGCAGAGGAAACTCATTTCAGCTGCTTGTATCTGTGATCTCCTTCTTTCAGTCACTACCCAAAGCTCCTGACCATAGATCAGGGTAGGAACGTAGACCCACTGGCAAACCTTCACCACGACAGACCGGTACAACACCCACATCACTGCAGACACAGCATCAATCCACCTGTTGATCTCCTGCTCCATTCTTCCCTCATTCATGAACAAGACCTGAGATACTTGAACTCCTCCACTTGGGGCAGGACCTCCTCCCTGACCTGGAGAAGACACCCTACCCTTTTCCAGCTCAAGACCATGGTCTGGGATTTGGAAGAACTGACCCTCATGGGGACAATCAAAGCAGATACAGTGAACATAAAATGATGGTTAAAGTTGTGTATGTATGGATGACAACATACTGAGGTGAATGACTGGACGTTGGGTGGACTGTCCTTGAAGGAGGACGTGTGTGTGTCTCACCTGTGAAGCAGACGGGACACTTGAAGGTTCCTCCCATGCCTTCGAAGCTGTGCTCGATCAGGTGGCAGAGCAGCTTGGCAGGTGAATCAAACATCTGGTTACACAGCTTGCACTCATGATTGATGCCTTCCTCTGCAAACAGAAGACAGACACACAGGTGGAGGTTAGACATGTGACACATCCCTGAATATGAAGACATTTCTGACAGACTAACAGGACAACACCACACCCACATGTCTCTGTCTGTCAGACGTCAGTCCTGTTAGGCAGGAGTTTACTGTATGTGGGAATTTATGGCTTCATTCACATGGCAGTAAATGATTTGTTCTTTGTTAGGCTTCAAGTGAGCAGTTTTTCTAAACGTGCTCTTTACAGATTCATGATGGTTTCTCACCTGGAGAAAAGATGATGTTTGAAACGTTTCTGCTTAAAGATCAAAATAAAACTTTACTTTAAACTTGTTAAAGCTTTTAGAAACATGATGTTTGTGTGAGCAGGTTCACCTGCTGGTTTCACTCATTTAACTGGAGAAAATCTGATTCCTATGATTTTACATCTGAACTACACTCACCGGCCACTTTATTAGGTACACCTGTCCAACTGCTCGTTAACACTTAATTTCTAATCAGCCAATTACATGGCGGCAACTCAGTACATTTAGGCATGTAGACATGGTCAAGACAATCTCCTGCAGTTCAAACCGAGCATCAGTATGGGGAAGAAAGGTGATTTGAGTGCCTTTGAACGTG